CAGAACTGGAAGGGAAGAGGCGGGGTGGGGGCAGAGCCTGGAGCTGAGTGGGGCTTGAGCACCCCAGGGCAAAGGAAAAAGCCGGCACCTGTGATGATCATGATAGTCCCTTCTGACCTTAAAGTCTATGAGTCTATGTGCCCACCAGAACTGTTTCCACCTAAGTCCTTCCTTAAAGTCAGAGATGGGCTCAAGCTGCAAAAACTGGACATGAAATCTGAGTGTCGCAGAGCTAGGGTCTTTCAGATTAGAGTTTGAGGTTAAACTATTGTAAAGAGAGAGGCAGCCATCTGCCAAATTGGAATCTGGATCTTGAGTCAGGTGTCAGACACCCTCAGATTTCGGAGGCATATGGTGTCAGCCCCAATTCTCCATTCATTTGCTTTACCATGTATTCTTCCACACTGCTCACTATGTATGAAATGCTCATTCCAGTTCTCCCTTTCCTCCTCCAGATCCCTCTTTCAAGGTTCCGATGTCCACTTCTAAACTTTTTGTTAGGTGCTCAGATATCACAGTGATAATACTCTAGATAAATATAACAGAACTAATTATAATAGTCAGAATAAACAATTCTAGTCATTTCCTCCTCTGGGCTTTATACCGCATCCTGTCTTCTCTATGTCTGCCTGTGTTTTGTCTTCTGCAGCGCCAAGCACACTGTGAACACTTAACTGTGTCTGATTCAGGGGATAAGCTGTTTGAGGCAGGGAGGTGCCATGTTTCCTGTGTATTTGTTCAGGCCTGAGTACAGTGATGGTGCTTGACAAATAACACACCATAATTATAATAATAATCTGTATATGTGTGTCGTAAACACATCCCCTACAGTAATAGTTTATGGCAAGAGGCCATTTCTCACGAAGGGTGTTGCCTACCTGTTAGCTTGTCACTGTTGTTCCCAGCTCCTCCTGAGACACAGAGATGAACTTTCTAATTAGAAAAGCCTTTGTCTGCCACATTTGGCTGCATCCCTTTCCTCAGCTGCATCAGATGTTGTGCTCCAGTGGGAGACGTCTATGCACAGCTCAACGAACAACATGATTGTTTCCTGTGGCCCTGCTGCGGGCTCCAGATTATCTCCACCTTCCCACTGTCCAGAAGCACAGATCTGAGAGCAGTGTAGGAAAGAGACAAAGGCACTGTTGTTGCTTCTGTTTTTACCTGCTTTAAAAAAAACCCTCTCCTCTCTCAATTGTGCCCCTGAATCTTATTAGAGATCTGGGTGAGTCACTGATACATGGTATGCAGACAGAAATAAGCAGAGCTGAGCAAAATAAGGAAAGGCAGGAGTGTTTCCCCAGCATAATAGGAACACAGTGAGGAGCAATGCTCTCTCTTCCACTAGAGAAAAACTCATTCTGTGCATGTGTTACATCATCGGCTCCCTGCTGCCTCCAATTTACTATTCCAATTCCTATATCAAAACACCTGTGCTCCAAAGGGAATACAAAAAGGGCTTAAAGTGCAATAGGAAATTCATGCCAATTAATCATGCAGATCTCCATAAACCACATGAGACTGTTTCCCCCGCCCCACCCAGGAGGAGTATGGCTCTGTTGTCATATTTCACTGACGAGTGGAGAGCCCTCCCCAACCCCACAGCCCCCCTAAAATGCACCCTGTAGAGCAAGCAAATCCCCTTGCTTGAGAATCAAAAGTGACCAGCATATTTTTAGCTTGTGCTTGCCTTATGTGCTTAGGAATTCTCAGCTCAGAGGTATAGATCCTGCCTGATGATGACCCACATGGCTTTACCATGAGAGACCACTCTTCTGAATGCAGGCTTCTAACTGCACTTGGGAGAAGAAATCAGGTGGTGCCCATTAGAAACCAGCACCAGCTGCTCTGAAAATCTTTCCATCAACTTCAGACCAAACTTGAGAGCTTTGTGGTTAGCAGTGCAATCATACTGTCACTGGCTTGGCATTGCACAGCCTGGGCTCTTTAATCTCTCTGAGATTTATAGATAATGCTAATAGTCAGTCTGTCTCAGGGGATTAATGTAAGCATTAAAATTCCGGTTCATCGGGATTTCAGTGGGAGTCGAACTCAGGGCGGAACTTGGCCCTCCGTTGGCAAAACAGAGAGAGATCACAACACAGTGGGTCTGGTGAGCAGCTGGGCTTCCACCAGGGTAATGGTCTTTCTACCAGGGAGCAATTGCCCTTGGATCAGCAGATAAGCACACATCTCTTTCCCTACCTGACATGGCTGCCCTTATACCCAGCCTTGCACTGAATGTGTTTCTGGAGTTATGTCCATTGCCTCCATCAGACCATAGGGAGTTTAGAACTTTTGGTGACCTTGCCTTGTTTTGCATCTCCAGCTGGAGTAGCTGTGTGAAACTAGGCTGCGGAGAGTAAGGGCTAAGTATGGGCAGGAGTAGGTTCAATTTCTGCCATGGCAGCTGAGCAAGATTGAGTGGTGATGGTAAACTCTGGCGTAGATAGTAGAGGTGGTGTTCCTTACCTAATAGGGAATATGGGATAATAATTTACCTGCTTTTTGGGGATGTTGATGGGATTCATTTTTGTAAAGATGAAACTGTCGTCATACCCTCTTTGAATGCATCTTACTTGTCTATTCCCAGATGAGCTCCCGCATCCTTTATAGCCACAATTTGGCCAGCACCAGGGATTGAACTGAAAGCAGGAATCACGACAGCTTGAGTTAGAGAGCCAGGCCCTTAAACTGTAATAGACTTGTATTCTCTTGGCTCAGGCATCAAAGGGAGTATAGAACACACTCTGACCCCAGTGGGTTACACTATGTAGATGCAAAATTATTTTCATCCCTCAGATTCTGCCTAGATGACTATACTCCGGTTATTAATGAAGCAAAAAAGGAAGCAAGCAGCAAAGGATGGTGGAAGGGTAGGAATGGGATGAGCCTAGGGAAGGTGAATGAAGAATTATGACAGTGGAGATTTATCTGTGATCCAATAACAAACCAGAAGTTCTGGAGGGACTGGTAGAATTGTATACATCCTGAAATTGTAAAACACAGCAATGCTTTCAAAGCAATGTGAGGTCATGGTAGAAGAATAGAAATGAAGGGAGATGATACCTCAGGTCAGAGATATAAAGATCTATGTCATTCAGAGAATTAAGGAAAGGAACTTGTGGGGAATATGAGACTAAATTATTGCTGGTGGACAGAGATTGGAGTCATTCTAAAAGCAACCTGAATGCTATCGTCTGGAGTAAATGGTGCATTATTAGGTTACCCAGTTGGGACACAAAATGGGTTTCTTTTCTCCTTCTCTTTGTTCTTTATTACATTTTTTTAATCCATGAATTTTCCTGCTACCATCCCAGATATATGGGAGTAATGGAAATACTTGTCTCTGTTTTATCTGTCTTTGTTCTTGTTGTTTGACATGACTCCTGACTGTTCTGAAAGTTAAGATGTTTTATGGCCAATGAGATCCAGTTAACTTTGAGAGTTGCTTCTAATGACCCTTAGGGACAAGCAGAATCCTTCTGGTTAAAACCTAGGGCCAGCTTTTGAGCTGGATCTGAACTTGTTTAGGTGTTGAATACAGTTGGGAAAACTTTCCAGTTTCTTGAAGAGAGGGTTTCCGTGCATTTCCTAGTTTTGGTAGAAGCCACAAGCAGCAGTTCCACAAGTTAGGCTATTTATGTGCTGTTTGCTATCTGGCCAAAACAAGGACGTGCTAGAAATTGAGAAAGCAAGTGAGTGTGCATGTTCCAGGCCGGAGAAGTTGGAGTAACTTTGCTTCAACTTTGGACTAGCTTGGAAGCCTTTGGATCCTTATCTGACCCAAATGGAACCTCTGAACCTTTGGAGATATTTGCCCATCATAAGTAACTGTAAAAGACTATGCTGCAACAACTCAGCACACCTTGACTTATGGCTTGCAAAGCCTGGCTGGACTCAATGAGTCTACTACAACATCATTCACATGGCTAAATTTGTGAGGCCTTCATACCCCTGTGCTGGGTGCAGTATGAGAATCTAGATGTATAAAGTAGATACTTCCTACAAAATATACATGTAACACTCCAGTGTGTTTAGACTGTGTGCGTGTGTGGGTGCGTGTTGATGTATTTTGTTCAATTATTTTAAAATAATGTCTAGTCACTTTTTCCCCTTTTACTAAACCATTGATTTCATTTCTTTCCCCCCAAAATATCAGAAACAAGAGTTCACCAAAGCTGGATAAATGGTGAAACCAAGGCTCAGAGAGGGGATTTGCCCAAGTCTGACTGCCTCCCAACAGAGTGTCACTTGAAACTAGTCCCAGGTTTGCTTGAAAAGTTTGCAAACCATGGTGAAATATTTGAAGAACTTGATCTGAGTTTTGAGAGCCAGTGTGGTCCAGTAGATAGGACACTAGGCTGGTGATCAGGAAACATGGATTTTAATGCTGGCTCTACCTCTCACCTGTTACATAACCTTAAGCAAGTCACTTTATTTCCATGCCTCTGTTTCCTCTCCCACCCTTTGTCTGTCTTGCCTGGTCGAGTGTGAGCTCTTTTGGGTAGAGAGACCCCCTCTCCCTATGTGTCTGCACAGCACCTAGGTGTTGATGCTACTGCAGCATAAATAATAAATAAGGAACAGGGCAAGGCAAGCTCCTCATACATTTGGGTTTCATTGTGAACATTTTGCACTCTATTAACCTGCTGACACTTGTTGGTAATTTACTGGCCCCAGTTACCCCCAAAGTTACAAACATGCACAAGAAAGAAGAAGTCAATTAGGGTGACCAGATAGCAAGTGTGAAAAATCGGGACGGGGATTGGAGGGTAATAGGAGCCTATATAAGAAAAAGCCCCAAATATCGGGACTGTCCCTATAAAATCGGGACATCTGGTCACCCTAAAGTCAATGCACAGGTTCTGAACGTTGTTGTGTGTTGTGAGTTGCTGCAGGCTTTGCAGGTCCTCCTGTTGCTGCCCAAAACCACATATCCCTGCAGCACATTTCACAGGAATAAGGCACTGAGTTTCTTCTCTCCATTTTCTCTACAGGTGTATTACTAGACATCCAGCAGCACTTTGGAGTTAAAGACAGTGGGGCTGGCTTGCTACAGACAGGTAAGAGTGTGCATGTTTCCCGGCTATTAGGTTTATTTTCTCTTTCTTATGGGGTGTTTTGTAAGGCTTCTTGAGCGAAGGTCGTGCTGCCCTTGCATGAATGTATTTGCTTTGTTAAATCATAATTGGCGTTCAGACTGCTCCTAGCTCTGAGTGGCTGTGCTGGGCTTATGTCTAGCAGTGGCTTCATTTGCAGCGCCCAAATTTTCACTGGCATTGGACAGGGCCGGCGAAGTCTGCTGCAGCTTCAGCTTACCAGTTCATACAGCAGGGATGGCGCAGCGCAACAGGGAGAGCGAGTGAATGGCTGGTCAGACAGCTTGTGGGAATTGAATCAAGGGAAAGAAGTACCAAGCCACAGTAAGAGAGACAGCCACCTGGACTGGTATTAGGGAGGGTACAGTATAGGTCAGCCGTGGGGCCCTTTTACTCAAACTTCTGCTGAAAGGGAGTGGGCAGATGGTATTAATCACTTATGGCATTGTGTACAGAACATGCTGATCATGTGGTCTCATGATCATGTGTAGCACAAGCTAGCATGATGATATGAAACCATTCATTTTATTGACCATAAATATGGCACTGAGAACTACAGAAAGGGTTAATAGCCATTGCACCCACTTAGCTCAGCATCCTGTTGGGTTAGTTGATGAAAACAGACACATTTGACTTTCAGCCACTAACATCAAGCACTTTTGTCCTTGTGTTGAAGTGAGAAGGCTTGTTAAAATCCAAGTGCACTTCCTTTTTGTGTTGCAAATAACTACAGATGGATCTGGTCAACTACAGGATAAACCTGTATGTTGTGATCCCTGGGTGTGGTGTGGTTTTGATTGACACCTTGGCCAAGTGGCTGAATTCAGTGACTTTGAGGGGCAGCGCTAGGTGGACGGTCATAACAAAGTGTTTGATTTTGTTGGGGAGGAGTTGACACAGTCACTGAGCAAATGCGATATTAGGGGGAAAGAGCTGGTTTGGGACACTGGTGGCAGAATTGTTTGCTGGAGTCATGAAAAGATGGTGCGACTGCTGTTGCACTTGGGTTTTTCTGTTTCATAGCCCTGTTCAGGAGTGTACATCTAGATTAGGAATACAGTGTCTCCCCCAGAAAGGATCGGATGGAATCCTAAGCCTTCTCTTAGATTGTAAGCTCTGTGGGGCAGGGACTGTTTTATTGTCCTGAGTTTGTACAGCTCCTACCCCGATGGGGTCCTGGTCTGTGCCTGGGACTCCTGGATACTATTGCTATACAAATAATAAATCATCATAACCTACAATAGGACTTTTCTAAAACTTTTCCACCTCTGGTTTAGCTCCAATGGGAATGGGTAGAAATGCCAGGCTAGTAGCAAATTGCAGAGAGGTCTGCAGGCTAGCACTAAATGGTTCCATTTAGAGAGGGATCCTTGCAACACACTAAGAGTTAGTGGTGCTTGGCACTGGGTGGGAATGGCCCAAAGTTTGCATTCTAAGAATGAGTTGCTCTAGCATCATGGGTACAAGAGCAAATTATCTGCCATCCCTAGCTTGTTAATACTCCATCAGCTGCTCGCCTCTTGGAACAGCAGAGTTCAGCTAAACCGATATGCGTGATACATGTCAGGAACAGAAGGCCTGAACTTTACAAATGTTGCTAATTAGAAGTGGTATCAATCAGTTATGCCCAAAGCGGAACTGGGTATCTGTTAGGCCCTCCTCTACAGCAGTTATTTTTATTTATTTATTCTGCTCTGAGGAAGAGATCCTCAACTCACCATGAGACACTGAGTACCTCCAATAAAACATTCTGGCAGAAAATTGCACCCTCCAAAGCAAATATTTAATCTTCACTCCTCTCACTGGATGAGAAGCTTTTACAGATTATTTACGAGTAGCAAGTGTAGAAAGAGCTGGGCTCCTAGAAGGCATCTCATATATTAATTGTGAGAAGTAGTAGTAGGATTGATTTCTGTAGGAAAACAGGCAGGCTATCAGAAAACATACCATTTAGATGTGTCAGCCTTTTCCCCATTGTGAGATTGCTGGTGGGAATGCAGCAGTCTTTGTCAGCAACCAAATGTTGCTTGGCAAAGAAATATCTTCTAGTTCTTGGCTGCTCTGAAAGTTGTTCCCATCCAATGAATGATCAGTGGTCCTACCTGTGACAAATTGGTGGTTGCGGTCTGGTTCTCGATGTCTATGCACCTCTGTAGCACCTCCACTCCAAGGATTTATAAACACAGTGAGGGCCTGATCCTGCCATTCTGACTTAGGTTGAATAATGACTTGCCCTCTGAGTATTTGCACTGGGTTAATAGGACTGCTCACAGAGTAAGTGGCTGTTCACGTAAGGGTGGACCCTCAAGTGTTAAGATAATTTTTACTGTCTGCATCTTACAAATGGGGAAAATTGAAGCATAGAGTTAGTGATTTGACCAAAGCTGCACAGGAAGCCTGCAGCAAAGGCAGGAGTAGAGCTTGCATCTCTTAGTCCTCTTCCTTAAACTCATTACTTCATCCATCCTCTTCCAAAGAGTAAAAAGGCCTTAGAGTTAGAAATAGCCTCTGATCCCCTCAGAGGTGGTCCCTCCAGTCATTGCTGGGGGTGATGTGGGGAGAAAGGCTGCTCATCCTGTTCGTGCCCTATGGATAAAGGGAGGATTTCAGTTTTCAGGGTTATTAATCCTGCATTTTAATGAGCAACAAATTAATTTAAAACCTCCATAACGTGGAGGAATAAAAATAATATGACATGCTTTGTTAGTTCTTATCACTCATCAAATAATCAAGCTAATTTCTCATAAAAAAAAAAAACCCTCTTAGCTGATCAGACAAAATGCCATAGAAAGTTCTTTTGGGCCCAATGGTATTGCAAACCCAAACAGAGGAGGAAAAAAAGAAATCCCCCAAAGGCAAGCCATATGCTCCTGAATTCATACACTCATCCACACACGCATGAACTGTCTCTCAAATCACTGTCTAAACACATCAGAATTGACTTGCACTCATTCTCAGTCTCTAGGCCCAAATGTTTCTGGATAACACAGGTGCCTGGTATCCTGGCAGGGAAGAGAGGAAACCTGAGTTGTTTTATTTTGTGCACTAATTAGGACTTCAGATCTGTAACGTAAGCTGCTCTGAGGAGCACAGTAACGCCTTGTGTGGTGAAATCCCCTGAATTCTAGTGCCTCCGCCATCAAAATGTAGTAATCTCTGTTAACAAGGATTCTGCGACAGCGAAGGGCGTGCTGACAGATGGATCACAATTGCTGCTTGCTCAGTATTTTTGGGTGATAGGCATGTAACCATGTTGACCCCAGAACTTCAGTGATCTCTCGATGATGCTTACATTGAGAGTTGAGCCTTTTTCTTTTTAAAGTGCTACATGCACTTGCTGCTATGCAAATAATATTAATTTGTGCTGAGTTATCCCTGAGGCTTGTGCATGAGTGTTGCGCCGTGTGGGTTTTTTATCTTGAGGTTCCTTTCATTTCCCACCCTTAGCCTTTGCCGTGCGGAGAGTGGATAAGGCTGGCTGATATTTAGATGTGTTATAGAATTCTCTTGGCTAGTTGAGTGAGGGCAGCTGTGATCAGTCAGGATGATTGTTATAAGCTGTGCCATGCAAAAGGTGATTCCGTAGTGCAGAGTTGTGAGGGAGGTGGGTCTAGAACAGTGCTGGGGGCAGAGAGAAGCTCCTGGAGTTGAACGCTTTATAAACCTCATAAACTGGGGGAGAGAGGGGAATTAGGTTTATAAAACTATTCAAATTGTCTTTGTTTCTTTTGGTTTAAAAAAACCCCCTGAATCATGTTTTAAAAACTCAGATTTCTAGGGGTAAGTCTACACTGCAGGTAGACACCTGTGACTGGCCCGTGCCAACTGATACAGGCTCACGGGACTTGGGCTAAGGGGCTGTTTAATTGCCGTGTAGACTTCTGGGCTTGGGCTGGACCCCGTCCTGTAGGACCCTGCGCGGTGGGAGGGTCCCAGAGTTGGGGCTGCATCCTAAGCCTGGAAGTCTACATTGCATTTAAACATCCCTAGCCTAAGGCGCTGGCTTCGCTACGGCGCTTACAGCGGCACAGCTGTAGTGCAGATGTTCTACACGGACGGGAGAGAGCTCTCCCGACCACTTAATTACTCCAGTCCCCGTCGGCAGCAAGTGAGCTTCTCGTGCCGACATAGCTCTGTCCTGCTTAGGTCATTGTAATTTACATCTCTCAGGTGGTAGCTTATTCGCACCTCTGAGCAAGGTAACTTACACTGATGCAAGCGGTCATGTGTATGTAGCCTCAGCCTCAGAAGCCCGAGTCAGCTGGCCAGGGCCAGCGGCAGGTTTTATACCGCAGTGTAGACATATCTGACAATTAAATCTGTGCTCTGGCTTGGGGATGAAGGTACCCGATACCCGCACGCCAACCTGTATGAATGGGTGCCCTGTACACTATATTGTACTGCTGATAACAAAATTTTCCTATCCTTCCTTCAGTATCACCCTTGTTTTTTCACATTGCCTACTTTCCTTTCCTCCCAACAGTGGTTTTATTTTCTCTTTGCCCTTTTCCCCTGTCTCTCTTAAGTGGAACACGGAGCGGATGATGATAGTACCTGTCTCTTACACACTGCTTCCTCTGCAGAGCTCAAACTGCTTTACAAAAAAAGGCTAATGATGTTTGCTCATTTTAAAGATGGCGAACATGAGCCGGGGGGGAGGGAATTGTCCATGGTAACACAGTTGGCTGGGGCAGAGCCAGGAACAGCTCCCAGCCAGGGCCAACTTTTGAACCTATAACATTTGAAAGGATTCAAAATTTGACCCTGTGAGATTCCTTAATGAGCACCATTCTCTTCCAACACTAAACAGTCCAAGCTCTGAGCATGACAGAGGCAAGCCACGTAAAGCTACCTGGCAGATGGGCGCAGTGTATGCTGGTATTGCAGTCAGTTTCAGACTACCAGCTGGCAAAGGACTGTGGGGATGATTTGAAAAGCAATAACAATGGCTATCTTCAGGAAGG